CTCTATCTATCTATCTATCTATCTATCTCTCTCTCTCTCTCTCTCTCTCTCTCTCTCTCTCTCTCTCTCTCTCTTTCTCTCTTTCTTTCTATTTGGCCTCACGTGAGAATATCCTATCTGCGCAACATGGTGTTCGAGATCCGTTCTCGCCACGAACATCTCGACAAAATTACATTGAAAAATAATTATACGCTCCGCGGACTCGCGCAAATGTTAAAAAAAAAAACAAATCAAGAAAAGAGAGAAATAGAATATTAAGAATAAAACACTGTATAGCTGTAGCGTATAAATAAGGATACTAATAAAACACTAATAATAAATAAAGATACTAATAAAACACTTGTATAGCTTTAGCATATAAATCTTCGCAACTGTGGATGATTTCATCCAGTTGCGGATTATTTCAGCTTTCGAAAATTCTGTGCGACTCGACGTCGCAAGTATCGCGACCTTAAAAACTAAGAAGAAAAAAAAATAGAACGTACAGAATTAAAGATACTGATGAAAAGATACGCTGTAATTTTCGTATCACAACCTTCGAAAATATTGCTGTGGCTCTTTCGCAACTGCGTGTTAGTATTTTCAACCTTCGAAAATATTGCGCAGCGCAATTCGATGTCGCAACAACATTACGACTAAAAACTAGAAAAAAAAGAGATAGAATAGAGATATCAATGGAGAATAATAAAGATACCGATACAAAGACAGAGACTGTAGCTCTTCGCATCATCGTCGCGATCTGCCGTCTCGCTATTTTTCAACCTTCGAAAAACACCGCGCGGCGCGATTTCGCAATTTCGTCGTTTACAGAAAAGAAGCGACGCGCGCGCGCAACTCACGTCATCCCTGTCCTCGTTGAGCTGCTCGTCGTCGGGATTATCCTCGAGTACGAAGCCGACCTCGTTGTTGTTTCTCGTGAGCGACGGCAGCTTCTTCGGCGTAAGTTCGTCGCCGTCCGTGTCCCTCTTGCGCTTGCTGCTGTCCCGATGTTGCTCGCTGAGCGCGTTGGTCTCGTGCTCGTCCAACATGTCGGTGACCATCAGTTCCGACTCGACGCTCGTCGGGGACACAACCTCGTCCAGCGGTGACATCGTCGCGCGATCGGCCTCGCCGGTTTCCAGAACGGACATGGTGCAAAATCCCCCGCTGTTACGGCCGCTATCTACTCGCTCGTGGGGATTCGCGCGGAACGGTCGCCGGTCGCTGATGGGTGACAGCGAGATACCGCGGCAAAGACCGAGCGAGCACAAACGCGGGCACATAGAGTCTCTCCCTCTCGCCGTTTGAATCTTCGTCCGTTTGTCAATTCGAAGGGATATCAGCTCATTAACCCCGCTCGATCTTCATTAAGAAATCTCGGATCATCGCGAAAGACGAGCCGCGTGTCAGTTGTTTCCGATATTACGTGAACGAGATACGCGCGTGGTTTTACAGTTAGGTTTCAATTCGATGGTCTCTGCGCATATTTTGTTGTTTGTCGTCGTGCTCGAACGTCGGTAACGTACGTTCGGTAATGATCGTTTTAATGAGAAGAGAAGAATTCGCTTTCGTCGTGAAACTCTCGAGCCAATTTACGAGAGACAGTCGTCGACCAGTCGTCAGTAATATCCATGCGCGTTTGTTACATCGGGCAATCTCCTCTGATTATTCGTTGATGGCATAATGATCGTCCATTAACCGGATAAAACACCGTTTATTTAAGAGAAATAAATCAACAAGCGCGCGGATTATTAAACCGTGTAGGTACGCGTGCGATTTAACGAATGCGTTGCCGAAGACGCGCGTACGTCCCTTCTTGAAGAAGAAGACGTTTTTCCGCGTCTACGTTTTAAAAACTTTTACTTCCACACACACACACACACACACGCACGCGCACACACGACCGGAGCATTAAAACGACCCCGACGTCATTAATTCGCCGCAACGATGCGCTCGCTTACGAGCTCTTCGCTCTTGTCCGATTACATTTAATCTCAGTCGCGCGAGAACATCATCGCCCGAGCGATCTTACATTTTACAGTCAATGAAGACGCGCGCACGTGACTGTCTCTCTTCTAGCCGATTAAAAAAAAAAAAAAAATTATGCTAATGTAACATCACTCCATTGCGACGTACTCGTCGAACTTCGAAGCATTCGTAGCGCGACGAACTTACAATGGCACTGCGGATAATTGTATGCAAATTTCCTGTCAGGCGTAACTTTCACTGCTCAGAAGAATCATCGAAGAAACTATGCGCGCGCGCGCGCACGCACGCGTTATGTTCCACTTAATTAAGAGAGGAGCTCGAAACGTCAACGGTATTTGCTGTCGGCGACTTCGACATCCCGTGATGAGGAATCGCGCGAGCGTCGTATAGTCGCTCTTTAATAGGATTTCAGTAACGGCAAGCGACACGCAGACGTGAGAAAGAAAGAGAAGAGAATATACGGACTCGATTGCCTTTATCAAGGCAATCACGCGTACACGTCAATCACAGACAATCACGGCGCGCGATAGCTATCGTCGTAATCATCCGCGTTATATTTTCTTGTACGCTATTTCGAGAGATCAACATCGCGCGCGTCTCAGAATTTCGTCACGCGATTTGCGAAGAAAGACGTGAAATTTTTGATCGCGTTCCAGGCGTTTCTCGCGATTACTTTTGCGTCACACGATCGAACCGCGTCTCGTTAGTCCAAACGAGTTTTTTTCGACGCCTCTCTTTCGCGAGACTATCCTCCTCTCGAGAAACGAGGAGGGGAAGAGACGACCTCGCGCGCGTTCAACTCTCCGGACGGGGCTGTGTTACGCGCGATACGCGCCGCGGAATGTCATTTCTCGCATTAGAACCCTCCGTAAAGCGGCAGTTTTAACTCCCCGTCTGGGTGGAGACATCAACGCGCAATTACGCACGGCGTAATGTCTCTCGCATCCGCGCGCGTAAATTTTTCTCGTTCGCGCGACGTCATTCGCGCACGCTCGCTCGCGATCTTACTGATTTTAATCGAGCGGAATGTCGGAAAATTCAATCAACGCGCGCGCAAGGAGTTTTTCTTTCAGAAACGTGAAAATTCTCTCTTCTGTGTTTGATCTTAATACGAGATCTATCGACAACTTCCGCGACTACATCCGTGTGTGTGTGCCCGCGTGGTGCCCAACGACGCAGAAACCGCAGTCACCGAAACAGTCACGTGGCACGGACTAGTTCCTCCAAGTCGATATATGCTACCGGTTCCCACACAATCGATAGCCTGCCCGACCCGGCCCGATTTCACCGCGCAATCGAGACACACCGCGTATGACACCGGTGGCCAGAAGAAATACACCGATCGTCGCGCACGACTCGCGTACACACGCCGAGATATCTTCTGTTTCAGTTTCGCGAGATGAAGTTGTTTCTCGTGTATTAAATCACACGCGAAAATTGTTTCTCGCGCGAGAATCCACCTCTCGATTCTACTCACTCGATCGAGTCTTCGCTGTCTTCAGCTGTTTTGCGACTCGTAAATCTTCTCATTTCCGATTCGTAATTCCGCTGCGCAATTTCGTTCCGCAATCGGAAATCACTGTTCTCCAGAGTGTGTGCGTCTCTCTCTTTCTCGCGCTTGTTGAGACGTTCAAAGTAGGAACGTTGACGGTGAGGACGCGATCGATCAATCGTAGGCCACGTGGTCGTGCACTGTCACGTGGGGGCGAGGAGAGAACGACGAACGTTTGTTGCCGTTGGCGAGAAACCCGAGAGAACGATAGAAGACGTACACGCGGCGAGCGGAAACGGAGCGATCGAAAATCGACGGGCGCGCGTTCCCCTCCTTCGGAGGGGTCACTTCCTCGGGAAAAAGTCAACCGGTGAAAAGTCGCGATATATATGTACGCACACTTTTTGAATGCCCGCGTATTGAACGAAGGTCGACGAGGACCCGATCGGTCGACACCGCGTTGGCGCGCGCGCCTCTCGAGAATGGCCTAGAGGCGAAAAGAGGAAAGGATCTCCTCGAGTGGCGCCGCCCGCGGCAGGAGGGGGCAAGTTTCTCTCTCTCCCTCTCTCCTTCTCTTTCGGGTGAAGCAAGTGCTGAAGCTCTGCGTTCCGCACGATATCCTCCGTAGATATCCACCACCATCACCGGCCGCCGACCATCACCGTCACACACACTACCGGTCCCCGCGTCATTGGTACCGGTGCGTTCACCGTCACCAACACACCATCAACGACGCCAGCTGTCGCGTTCTCCGTCTTGTTCCCTACCTGCGATCTTGACTTCGTCGGCGCTGCTTCCGCTCCGGAGAAGCCCGCGTTCTCTCGAGCTCGCGTCTCTCCCGCGTCTCTTCCCCCCTTCCCTCCCGGTGTGCCCCTCTTCCGCGTCGTTTCCTCCACCGCGTCGATGTTCCTCCTCTTCGATCTCCGCGCGTCCTCCTTCAATCCGAGTCCGGACTCAGACCGCTCGGTGCGGTTGTCTCGCTCTTTCCCTCGCCTCGTTCAGACGAGAGTAGTACGCGGTCGGTATGTCCTCCTGGCCTGTGTGGAGGAGCATTCGCTTCGCAACCTGGGCGGGACGGAGAACGAGGAGAATTTAGCATTTTCCTTTCGGTTTGGACGACGTTTGATCTTTCTTCGATCTCTCTCTCTCGTTCCTCTTCTCTTCCTTTCGTCGCTGAGAGGAGTTACGCGATCCCGCGGGGAAACGTGCCTTGGTCGATAACGACCACGAGTGTATATTTATCTCTCTCAAATCGCTTTGTCGCTTCCTTCACGGATGACGGCCGAGAGAGCTACGTGCGAGGGCACGTCGAGACCCGGTTGGATCGATTTAACGGATACGCGAATCCTCTTGCATCGCACTTCTATATTATTTATTTAATTTTATTTCTACATTGTCGTAAAGGATATTCTATCAATACTATATGTGTCTTCTCTATTTGTTTATTTATTTACGCTCGTTAATTTCACCTATTGTGTGCGTAATATCCACTTTTATCGCGCACGATAAATTTCCTTCAGTCACAACTTGGGTCTTTTTTTTGGTACCTTCCTGAGTGTGGTTGTCCTTTTTTCCCCCTGTTATGCTCGGCACATTTGTAACGCCTAGCCTGCCTTTACCTGTCTTTTCCTCTTTTCTATTTTTTTTTTTTTTTTTGTTCTTTTACTTCTTCATTCTCGCCGAGATATTTTCGTTCCCCGTGTGTATCATCATCATCATCATCGGTTTACATGGCAGCGCGTATCTCTCCGCAACAGGTATCGACTTCTTGTCTTTCCACGCTCTCTTGCAGATCGTTACTAACGACCTACACAATCTGTCGGTCTCTCAAGCGCGCTCCGCACCGATCCGATCTAACGCTAGATCACTTTGGGACCGGTCTCCGATCTTCGTTATCTCCTCTCCGTTTTCCCCCCGTTTTTCTCAATTAGTTTTACGCGCACACACAACTTCCGATGTGTTGCGAATGGAAGATGATATCGAGCGCGTTAATCTTCCTCAGCGAGAATTTGCGGTTCGACGACGATTTATTCGAAATTAATTATTACGTGATACACATATGTATTATATAGTAATTAATTATTATGTGGTGATGTATTATACAATAATTATTATTATGTAGTGATATATATATATAATAATTAATTATACATATATTATAATAGTTAATTATTACATAATTATTAACTATTATAAAGTAACGTATAATATATATGCAATATTGTAAATAAAATCCTTCCACAGAAAAAGCATGTGTAAATAATCACAATCAATTCTCTCAATATTGATTGTTGCCACTTTTATCTCGATGCTGATTGGACGTTTTTCGGATGTGCTTCTCAATTCATGTCGTACAAACCAAGAGGCACAATAATGCTTCTTATACGCGAAAGTCATGCGATTGAGAAGTAAGGAGGTTTTCATGGAGCAATATCTCAAGAAAGACTGAACCAATCACTTTTGTTTTAGTCTCAATCGTTTCAAAACAAAACACTAAAAAAAAAGTATTCTTACGTTTTTTAAAGTCACGTGACAGGGAGGAGAGAAAAAACACCATGAGACTACAGTCACGTGACTTTACTTGATTTTAGTCACGTGTTGATTTTACATTCCTCCCAGTCACTATTTTTCGAGTGCGATTTTCATGCGTTATTTTTTGACATCTCTCATACGTACATCATGTGTAGTATATGATTTGTAAGACGTATATATATACTATATGTCATCGCGGTGACAGATTGTGTTCACTGACACAACACGTTAAAATAAAAACAATAATAGCAAGCGCGTAACGCGTGCCTGTGCGCGCTAGTAATATAAAAATAAAAAGTTAAAAAAAAAAACAAAAGCTTTCTCTTTTTTATCCTTTTTCTCTTTCCACTATCAAAACCGACACACGTCGGTTCGTCTCTTCGAGTTTCAAAAAGGAACAAAACAAAACGCGCGACTACTTGCTTGATATTACATCTTTTATTGCCAGCTAATTATTTTTGCGCAAGTCAGATCGCGGATAATTAATTTCATTTGACGCCGAGCTCATTAACCGGGCGCGCGATTAAATCGGCATGGCGTGTAATAAAGTCGATCGAGTTGAGCAGCGGTTAAATCCGATCAGATCAATTTAGCGGCAAATGTCAACTGGATTATCCGCCGCGTACGTGCGTAATGTCGCCGGAATGCGTAAGATTTAGATTGTACATGGGCCCGCGCATTCCTCCAATACGTTAACCCAATATGTGAACCGGCAACGAAGGCGAAATGAGTCACTCGTTAGGAAGGAACGCGGCCGCAATAAACAACGCCTTTGTAATTTCAAACTGCAATAAACTCGTCCAGGACACACGCCGTTTGGTTGCGCTTCGCAAAAAGCGAGGGAAAACGACGACAGTTTGTTTTTTTTTTTTTTTTTTTTTATGGTTGCGGAATAAACGCGCGATCGACGCGGATTAGGATCGATCGCGAGAAGAAAGTTTGTAAACGAGAAAAAAATACGATCGATGTCGAAACGTAGTTTCAAGCTGTACTACATATTGGAACGCGATCGATGAGGAATCTGTTCTAAGAAATTGTCCAAGTACGCGCGAGGTTCGATTTTTGTGATCTTCGCTACATGCACACTTCGAGATAAATTAAATGTCACAAAGTGAGCACAATCTGTGTGCAATTGTTGCGCGAATCGCACGTGGAATTCGCATACCGCGACGATCAACGCGAAGATATTCAGGCCAAGGGTGATCGGCACAACCGGCCCCTCGATTTCGGCGAGAGAAACTGGTCTTCTCTTGAGAACGCCGAGACAGATAACGTTCCCTCTTCCGCTTCTTGCTTTTTTCTCATGCTTCGTGCGACAACGCGCGATTATTAAAATTCCGCAGTGTCTTTGAAAAATAACGACGAAACTCTGTTGAAATTAACACGCAAAAGAGCTTCGGAAGTTTCTAAACGGATACTTTCCAGCGAGATAAACTTGTATAAATGATTACAGAAAGCAAAAAACACACACCGTAGGTTTTCAATCTTGATTTACATAAAATGCAAAGTTACGTCTTTCTCTATGTTAAAAATTGTAGAAAACGTAGAAGTTTCTTGCGCGTTATTTACGATCGAATTTACGTTTACGAACCGGCGTCGTAACGCGGCAACGAGGCAAGTAAAAATTTTTCGAAAGACATCAGATTAAAATTTATTTTACTTTACCACGCGCGGTCATTAACGGAAAAAAAGTTTGGCGATGCACAAGCGCGGAGATAATTTACGAACTGTTTGCGAAACTGTTCGCCGTTTTCTCGGATATACATAAAAATTAATAAAATACCAAATCTCGTAACAGCTTTCTGTAGATCTCTCTTTCTCTTTCTCTCTCTCTCTCTTCTTTTTCATTCACCGGTTTCTTCTAACGGAGAGAAGTCGCGAATTTTTTTTTATCGTCATACGCGCGACAGGATTTCTTTCCTACCGCCCATCCACGTGTTCGTGAGATCACTACCGAGCCGTGCGCGTCGACCACGTGTGTGCAAAAACTCACGTGGAGGGAACAGCGATTGAGGAGGAGAGAAGGGGAGGGAGAGAGGAAAAGCGTCGCGCGTTAGGTTATCCGGCAACGAAGGGAGACGCGCGCTCGAGGAAGATACATTTTTCAGATTGTAAGAGAACCCGGTCTCGATAATGCCGAACACCGTCGATGACGCTTCCTTCGCCTCCTCCCCTCGCCCCGAAAAGAAACGACGACGACGACGACGACGGCACATTCCCGAGAGAAATCTTTGAGCATATTTTCACGTCTTTTCTGAAGGGCGCGTCTCTGCCGGATGCAGATAGCGGCGGCCGTGTCGCGGGATGTGTGGCCACGTATGGGTGACGACACAATATCCCCTTCTGATGGTGAAGGCCATCCAACCTGCACGATACGATGTAATACTTGCCGGGGATAATATATTGCTGTACAAATGGCACCGAACTTCTCCCCCCGTTCTCTCCTTTCTCGCGTACCTGTGTGTAAGTCCGCGCTTATCTACCCGCTCAATTTTCACGACACCAGTGTCGTCGTCGTCGTCGCTCGACATGGCACGTTGCTTCTCGCACAGGCGCGGATCTCGCGCAAATTAGCGACGCGAAATTGCAAAAGAAACGAAATCGTGAATGAGCGTGTTTTTTAGAATATAATTTTGTTTGTTTGTTTGTTTTTTTTTAATGTTGCTAAGTTTTCTCTCTCCACGCGACGACGTGCGTCAGATTTGAGGAAGTGCGAATTTAGCGCGCTTCCTCATACCGCGCGCGATGGTTGCAAAGAGATGAGATTCCGTGGGTTAAACAAGCCAATACGGCGCGCGTTTCAAATTGAGAGCGATCGATATATAACCCGAGATAAATGCGAGCGTCGACTACTAGAAATTGCACTGCCAATTGCGTGTCGTTGCCGATCGACGTTCGCGATCGCAATCAGCGACGGCTGGCCTACG